TTTCTAGGAGAGAGAGAGAGAGACAGCATGAGCAGGGGAGGGTCAGAGAGAGAGGGAGTCACAGACTCTGAAACAGGCTCCAGGCTCTGAGCTGGCAGTCAGCACAGAGCCCAACGCGGGGCTCGAACCCACAAACTGCGAGATCATGACCTGAGCGAAAGTCGGACGCTTAACCGACTAAGCCACCCAGGCACCCCTCTAAGAGAGTAAATCTTAAAGGTCCTCATCACAAGGGGCAAAAATTCTGTACCTAGTATGGTGATGAATGTTAACTAGACTTATCCTGGTGACCATTTCACAGTATAGATAAACAGCGAATCATTATGTGTACACCTGAAACTAACATAATGCTGTATATCAGCTATACCTCACTAAAGAAAATAATAATAATAATAATACAGGAAAGAATTCTACTTCAGTATAACCTGCTTCCTCATGGCTCTTAGGGAGAGCCAGTATTGCATTTACTGTAAATACTGTACTTCAGTATGGCCAAAAAACAGAGCAGTCTGATTAATCAACTATTCTGACTAATTATCATCTATGCAACACATGAATTACCACTTTTCAAAAAATTAGGCTGTCATCAATTGCAATTAACACTGAAACACTACTGAAGGTTTCATAATTCTTTGATGATGCAGAAGGCACTTCAGTGTCTCTCAGGGTGTCAGGCTCGCCAGCATAAAAATCATTTATCCCAGTAGGACAGACGAGGGGAGATGCTGGCTAATAGGAATTTTCAGTCGAGAGAAATGCAGGCAAGCCAGGTTTTACTGTGTTTACAAGGCTGAATGAATGTCTATTGAGCTCTTTAAGCACCTCCTGAGAAAGACGCTCTATTTGTCTGAGATGTTATAATTATTATTCTGCGGGAATACAATGGTAACATTCTATTTTACAACAAAGAAAATTAGATTACAAGTTTTCCTACAATCCTCCCTCCTCCCGCTAAGATCACACACCGTACAGAGTTACAATGGTGCCAATTACAACATCTTTTCATGCACTGTATGCTCCTTGGGCTTTTGATGATCTGAATGGATTTCATACCAAATAGCAGCCACTGGCAGCAATCAAAACAATTTGGAGGAAAATAGTTCCATCTTCTGTGTTCAAGTAATGTTATTGATTTAAACTTCGTATTTACCTCACTTCTTTCTTCATACAACAAGCAAGCATGTGGCCTCTGTCCAGGCCCCCCTTCAGCCAAGAAGAAGGGGAGGGGAAGCCTGATGCACACTAGGCATTTTCCATCACTAGCTGGTAGAAGCCCATTTCCCTCAAAAAGACAGTGCTTTCAAGAATTTAGTCCAATCCACCACTTCTCCTCCCCCCACTCAACTATACAGAATCAGAGGCACAGAGAGGGTGAGGCTTTTGTCCCAGTTTACACAGCTAGTATACTGGCAGAGCAGGGCCCAGATTCTAAATCTCCTGATAGCTCACAAGCTCCACTAAGTCATTTCCTCAGTGCCCACTGTGTGAAGCTTTATGTCTTCTCTAAATCATGCCAGGGAGGAGATTTTCCCTGAAAAATGACATTTTTCTTTGAGCTAGGTGCAAAACAGAAGAAGAAGAAGAAAAGGAAGAGAGAGATTGTATGTGTGTATTAGAGGAAGGGAAAAGAGCCCGGCATCATGTCTTTGAGGAACCACTTCCACATCACAGCCCAGCCTGCTCTCCTGAGGCAGGAATTTGGGGTTGCAGTCCTGGCACAGCTGCTCAGGTTTATTTGTTTGCAGAGCTGTAATGGGACTCCCTGAAAGAATCTCTGCAGGATACTTGAAGCTGATGGCCACAGAGGCTCTTCACTGAGCAAAGAAATACTCTGACTCTCCCAGCCCTGCCCTGGGTGTCTAAGATCGGAGGGCAGCATATTCTAACATGGGAAAGATACGAGGCTTAAGTCAATATATTTGGCTGATGTGCAACACAAAAGGAAGTTAAGCTGTTTAAGGGGTTAAGCCATTCAGTGTGATATCAATCAGCTTCCCACTCAGCCCTGCAGGGAACTTGTATTATAACTCTTGAGAGAGGCACAGCCTGGAGAAATTGAATCAATAAATGGGAAAGCTACAATATTATAGGTGTGATAAGAAACTAAGAGAATAAGCTACATCTCCTCCCTCCCCCAGTTTGGGGCTTAATATAAGAGTCACTGTGCTTGTGGGAAAGGGTCTAGCTCATCATGGTGCCAGTGACAGTGGTAGTGCCCCAAACAACACCTGTGACGAGAGGACTGATACTGCCTAACAGTGCAAAACCCACAGTACATCAAGGCTACACCATACCCTTAGGAACCACTTGGCTCAAGGGTAGAGAACCAAAGTTCACTTCAGAAAGAAGTGGGGCACCAATATGGAGGCTGGGTGCCAAGTGCATCAATGGGCATCCGTGAGTAGGATTGTAGCTAACACTAGGCGGAGGAACATTAGGGCCAGGATCGTGGCACCACCCAGGAGCCATGGTGGCCACAAAGCCCGCAAACAATGGGGCAGAGAAAGGGAGCTGATGCTAAAGAGCAGAACTGCTGTAGGGATAGAGCGGAACCTGTGACCCTCTGGATCTTTCATGGGAAAGGGCCCTCCACAGGTTCCACTAGAAAGCTGGAGATCCAGATTCCTCAGAAGGCGCTTGAGGTCAATGCTATTTTGGCATCTCATTGCTTCACACCCTCCCAGGACTGGTCCACCATCTTAACCAGTGTGGCCTATGTCTGTGAAAGTGCACATGAAAGACAGCTGGGATGAGGGAATAGACAGACGGTCGGTTCTGGCCAGAAGCACACCATCCCACTGAAGGCTGGGTCGGTTCTAACTCTCCACGGAGGCCCAGATCTGCTCTGCATTAGACATTCAGCAAGATTAAAGAGCTCTGGACAAGGTCATCCCTAGGACTCCGTGAGTCCCACAACTGATACAGTTCAAAAGCAACTCAAAATCAGGCCAAATCTTAACACCTGGGGTTTGGGAGGTGGGGGGGAGAGGGGAACACTAATCCTGCGCCAACCTGAAAGGAAGGGATGGTTCCCATCCGACTGCACATTTCCATGAGTTCTATAGCAGCCACAAATTGAAACCAAAGCTTTTTGAAGAAATCCTATTTCTATCTTCTTGTTTGTTCCCCTCTCAGCCCCAACTTCTCAATTCTCCATGGGCAGAGGTGTGCTTCAGACACCTTCCACAGCCAAGCAGCACAAATCATGATGTGGAATCCACACGTCCATTTTTCTCCATCTTTCATTTCTGTGGTAATAACTGTAACAATGACCAACATGGTTCTATAGGAGAGGCATTGTGCTAAGCACTTTGCATATATTATTATACATTATTATATTTGATCATTTTACCAACTCCTTCAGGTAACACAATCATAGTCCCTACTTTACAAATGAGGAAAATACGGCAGAGATGTTTGTTACCTTCCCAAGGTCACAGAGCTAGAAAGAGATGGAGCCTGGCCAGGCACCCAGGCAGTCCTCCAGAGCCCACAGCCTTCCCCTACATCCCATCATCATTAGACTAGAAGAGCAGCAAGGGACTGGCTTCCTTCAGCATCCCCCTGTAGGGAAAGCTGAATGTGAAATGAGTTTAAAGAGGAAGCAGTTTTTAAATATACAGTGTCTCATCTCAAAACATGCACGTTTTTCTGACTAAATAAAAATGAGCAGAACTGAAGAATTTTGACCCCACTGTCCTGAAACCTGCACAAGAGAATATTCCAAGTTCACTTTCCGTTAGTCACCCCTGCCTGACATTTGCTTGCTGAGCAAAGCAAGGAGAGTCCCGATAGGGTTCCCACCCAACTTGAATATAAATTAAAAAGCGTTCTAAATCTCCTGCTACATTTCTCCAATTTAAGTGAGATTTCAAGTTAAGAACTTGCTTTGATTGGATTAACTTATTTTCATCCATTTCAGAGTTTAAGATTCCTGTTTGCCAAGTACCTTAAATGACACAGGGGTTCTGGGTCAAAGACACCCAACAGCCAAATAACTTTAGTCCTACAATGAGCTATAGCTACTAGGACAGGCCCATCAACAGTCACAAGATTTCCTGCCAAGAAGGAAAAAGGTTAAAGTTTCATCTTCAGGAAAATAGCATTCAGATTTAGCCAGGGGAGAATTTGCAAACGTCATCTAATCTGCACCCATTGGGAATGAATACGGTTTAACCCCAGCCACTTCATGGGTGCATCAGAAGATTTCATAGATCCTTATTAATTTCAAGGATACAGTTCTGTAAAGGGTACATGGTGATCAGGAAAGGGGAAACCATTTATTAAAACATGCCAGAGGCATCAGAAAACAAAAGAAAAGTAAAGTAAATATAGATGTAGAGAGGGTGACCTTAGTAACTTACCCTAAAAGAGAAGGAAAACACAAATGATCCAAACTAAAAAATGTCTGGAGGGGGGACGGGGAGGGAAAAAAGCAAGCCTTGTGTTTTATTCTGGAAACATATATTATGCTCACACTGAGAGCTGACGGGCAGATGGTTGAAGCTCATACAAAGAATATTAAATCTATTGGAACCCTCTTGCCCTCCTGATACAACACAGCTCATGCCTAGAAGGCAAGACAATCAGCATGCAAACGCCTACAAATTACTCAGATTCTGTCACTAGCTGGGAAATCCTCACTGCATCTCTGAGCACACACGGGGAGCCTGAATGGTTTGCCCTATTCTTCACAACAGGTCTGGCCGAGAGGGTCAGGAGAGAAGGCAAGTCTGTCTGTCTGTCTGTCTGTCTCTCTCTCTCTCTCTCTCTCTCTCCCCCTCTCACACACACACACACATCCACACTTAGTGAATGTCTTTGTATTCAGACAGGCTTCTGCCACTAAAGGCACATATGAATTGAAACGGCACATGAAAAGCACCCAGCAGAGAGCCCGTTTACGGGCTAGGCTCGGTTTTGCCATGTCTTTGCAGGAATAAGAAGAGATAATTAGATTTTAAAGGCCAGGAGAAATAAAGTCAACAAACTTTTACCTTGCCCAGAAGTCCTTTACTCTTTGTGTTTTCTGATGGGCAATCATTCAACAATGCAGTGAAGGTCACACACATGCTGCTGATTCTGCCTGGAAATAGCAAAGCATGAGACAAGAAAATCATTCCAAAATAATAGACTATGTCACATTCCTTTTTTAACCTGAGCATCTAAAGCTCAGTGGCTAATGAATATTTGGATGACAGGATGCTTTAGAGTCAGGTTACTCAAATACGGTTCACAAACCAATTCCATTTGACATCACCTGGGAGCTAGTTAGAAATGCAGCATCCCAGGCCCCACCCAGACCTACCCAATCAGTCTGTTTGCTCAGGAAAGCACGGCAGTAGAGCAGTAAGTTCCACTGAGAGGTAGGTGCACTCGGGGCCCACACAAAATGACCTATAGGGTATGCAAAGAAATCCTACAACTTCTATTTTTGAATATTTATCTCTATGTTTATTTCATTTTTAGTTTTGCTTATGATTATCTCAGAAAAGAAATTCAGCTTCTCTATTTGATATTTAGCTTGACAGTGCTGCATGTATAAACCTATCAATAAATATATTAAAAGTAGGGACTCAATTTCTTTTTTAAAATTTTTTTAACATTTATTTATTTCTGAGAGACAGAGACAGAGAGCGAGCAGGGGAGGGGCAGAGGGAGAGGGAGACTCAGAATCCAAGCAGGCTCCAGGCTCTGCACTGTCAGTACAGAGCCTGATGCAGGGCTCAAACCCACAAACTGTGAGATCATGACCTGAGCCGAAGTCAGACGCTCAACCGACTGAGCCACCCAGATGCCTTTTTTTTTTTTTTTTTTTTTTTTAATGGGTAGGGCTTTCCACTTAAAAGTTGGGCTGATAGTTCTACCTAAGCTATGGTGTGATTAGGTCATATCTCTGTCCAGGAAGCTTCCCCTTGTCACATGTTGACTAGACGTCCCCTGTCTCCTCCAAGTTACTTTTATAAATATGCACAGTAATAAAGAGGAGGGCCCTTCTCCTACAGCACTTACCACTATATGTCCAGCTATGTCTCGCCCGGCACACAGCAGCTAGCTGGCCAGAGGACAGGGACACAGGTACGACACTGACGCTTCTGCCCATGATCCTCCCACAAGCCCTAGCTTACACTCTCACAATATGATCTGAGTGTGCCTGAGTCCTTTGCAAGACGCACATAAACAAATCATCATCCTCCAATAAAATAATTAACTCATTTTCTTTGTAGTAAGGGCCATGAGGGAAAAGTGCAGGAGGGTCAGAGGGAACATTCATCGCCTGGAGGGCCAGGGAAACTTCCATGAGGAAGGGATATTTGAGTGAGGACCTAAAGAATGAACGCTTCAGCAGAGCATTCAAGCAGGAGGAGCTATGTGAGGAAGGAATTTGGAACAGATTATATTCTGATTACTGGGGCTAATGTGGTTGGATATGGGTGAGCAAGAGCAAGAGCTGCAGGGATGAAGCTAGAGGGGAAGACAGAGTCCAGATGTTTGGGACCACGCAAGGGATTTGGGACTTTATCACATAAAATGATTTGAGCCTAGGGTTATGTCCCAGTTTGAGCTCACCCAAAAGGAGATCCTGAAGCAAGGACTGGGTATAAAAAGTTTATTTGGCAAGTAGTCCAGGAAGCTCGGTGAGGGCTGAAGATAAGGTAGCAAGGCAAGTCAGTAAGAGGGTCACTAATGAGCACCGTAGGCAATTCAGGCTCAATCCGGAGGGAGCCCTCTGGGTGATTGCATGAAATATGCCTCAGAATGTTCCCACAGAGAGGCAGGGAAGCTGGATACCTATCCATCAATTCTCACCACTTGTTGTTTGTGAGACGCTTCTGTAGTGTTAATTTCTACCATGTATGAAGATGAGGAGGGGGACTATGGCTAGAGAATGTCTTCAACACATGCAGGTAGACATCCCATATACAGGTTGAGTGAAAACCCATCCGACTTGCCCAGGAATGTCCTGGTTTTCACACTGAAAGCCCTGCATCCTGGGAATCCCCTAAGTCCTGGCAAACTGAAATGACTGGCACTCTAATATAAGAACTATCTGCAGCTGACATGTGGAGTAAGTCAAAGGGATATGGGTGGAACACTGACAATATCTGTGAAATGGCATCAAAAGATTCAACTACTGCACTCTGTCTAGATCCTGAAATATCAATGACATTGCCTTACCAGAAAGACAGAATCTATGACATATGTTAGCAATGCCTAAGCAGATTACAAAGCTGGACATTAAAAATGTCCAGAATGTAATACATGTTATTGCCTATAGTAACATGACTGTACTGGTTTCCAATGGCTGCTAGAGCAAGTCAACACAAGTTTAGTGGCTTAAAACAATACAAATCTATTATCTTATTGTTCTGGAGATGGAAGTCTAGAATGGTTGGCAGGGCTGTGTTCCCTCTGGAGGCTCCAGGGGAGAATCCTTTTCCTTGCCTTTTCCAGATTCTAGAGTCTGCATTCCTACTTGCGGTCCTGTAAGCACTCCGACTGCTGCTTTCATTGTAAAATCTTCCTCTCTGACTTTGACCTTCCTGCCTTCCTCTCATAAGGATCCCTGTGATTCCCTTGGATAATCCAGGGCAATCTATCTTAAAATCCTTCACTGAATCATACCTGCAAAGTCCTTTTTGCCATGTAAGGTAACATATGCACAGGTTTCAGGGATTAAGACACGGACATCTCTGGGGTGTGACAGGGGGTGGGGGGGCATTCAGTCTATAACAGTGTCCTTGATTCTAAGGCACATTTAATTGTATGATGTACATTAATTTAGTAGCAGCTTTGATGGGTGGTAACCACTATCTAATTAAGTGTATATTTTTTAAAACATGTATCCTGATTTCAGAAATGCTATAATGTGGGGGCACCTGAGTGGCTCAGTTGGTTAAGCATCCAACTCTTGATTTTGGCTCAGGTCATGACCTCACAATTCATGAGTTCGAGCCCTGGAGCCTGCTTGGGATTCTCTCTCTCTCTCTCTCTCTCTCTCTCTCTCACACTCTCTGTCTATTTCTCTGCCCCCTCCCCTGCCCATGCACTCTCTCTTTCTCATAAATAAATAAATAACTTTTAAAAAAGAAAATGTTATAATGTGAACAGCTATACAGTACAGAATTCAGCATCTATGATAATGCCACAAGGAAAGCAGAGCTGCATTTTTATAGAGGCTCAGGTTGTACATGTAGAGCCTAAGGTGAATCTCTACCAGGTAGGGTGTAGCCATAAGAGATAGGCTCTGCCTTCTTGGAGCTTTCTTTCTGGGGGGGAGAGGCAGACAATAAGCAGTTACCCAGGGGGTGACCAGTGCCACGAGGAAGAAGGAAGCAGAGGCTATCTTGGGGCTGGGAGGGGAGTGTCTTATTCAGATGGACCAGGTCAGGGAAAGTAGGCAAGGAGGCTATGTTTAAGCAGAGACCTCAGTGATGGCACAGAGAATAGGATCAGGGTCAAAGGGCAGCCAAAGCACAAATAACTATGAGGCAGAAGGAACGTTCATCATTTCTACAGGAAAGACATTTCCCAACTACCACCATCCCCACTCTGAAGCATAATCTTGCTCAAGTAATATCAACTATAAAACTTGACAGCAAATTCCTTTTTTTTTCTTTTTTTCTTATGGGGGGGTGGGGGGAAGCACGGGCTAGGGAGAAGGGCAGAAAGAGAGAAAGAGAATCCCAATTAGGCTCCACGCTGTCAGTCTAGAGCCCCACATAGGGCTCGATCCCACACCCATGGTATCATGACCTGAGCAGAAAGCAAGAGTCAGAAGCTCAATTGACTGAGCCACCCAGGTGCCCCTTCTTTTTTTTTTCTTAAGATTGGGTGGGAGCTGTGGTTGGACAAAAAGGATAACAAAATAAGAGCTGAGAAGGTTACTTGCTATAAAACTTAATAGCAGAAACTACCAGTTTTGTTCTGAATTTAAACTTGTCTTGGAGTTCCTGGGATTGAGCCCCATGTCGGGCTCTGTGTCAGCAGCAAGGAGCCTGCCTGGGATTCTCTCTCTCCCTCTCTCTCTTCCCCTTCTCTGCTCAGGCACATACAAGATAAATAAACATTCAAAAAAAATTTTGTCTTCACTGTCTTGCCTGTGAGTGGCAAGGAAGCATGATATTCTCATCTTCCTACTTTTTGTTCCCTCAACAACCAGTTTCGTTATTTTTAAAAAATCAAATGGGAGTTTCTTTCCTTTTTTTTCTTTTCAACTTTATAATCACAACACCCCAATACTTCTACCACCTCCATTCTAATATGCCCTACTCCCACCCTCCGGAAGTTGTCCCTTTATCAGAAAGCCAGACCTCTGACAAGCATGTAAGCCTGTCCCCAAACCAGAGGTGAGACAGCCTGGTCCTGTCCCTCTGAGGGTCAAGGGCCAAGACCAATGTCTGTTTGATTAAAACCCCATCAAAGAGAATAAACAGAAGTTTTAGTCCCTCTCAAGAGAAAGGGAAAAGCCATCTGGAAAATGCCCCACATCGTTATGACAGCTACAAATTGTCAATTATTAATGGCTCCCAATCTAACAGCCAGACTACAACAGGAATGGGATTTGTTAGGAAATGCTGGTGAGTGGGGCGCCTGGGTGGCTTAGTCGGTTAAGCGCCCGACTTTCGCTTGGGTCATGATCTCGCGGTTCGTGGGTTCGAGCCCTGCGTCGGGGTCTGTGCTGACTGTCAGCTTAGAGCCTGGAGCCTGTTTCAGAGTCTGTGACTCCCTCTCTCTCTGACCCTCCCCTGCTCACGCTGTCTCTCTCTCTCTCCTAGAAATAANCCCTCTCTCTCTGACCCTCCCCTGCTCACGCTGTCTCTCTCTCTCTCCTAGAAATAAATAAAACATTAAAAAAAAAAAATTAAAAAAAAAAAAAAAAAAAGGAAATGCTGGTGAGGACCAGTTCCCCAAACAAAAGGCCAAACACACAAGCACAAAGAATCTGCCCACCCCCTCCCCAGAAGTTCAAAGGTTTAGAATCTTACAGCGTTAGAGGCTAATCCTGAGAAGACTCATCAGTGATGGAAGGGTGAGCCCTCAAGCTGTGGCTCATGGGTAAGCCATATAACAGAACATCTTATT